AATTATCAATTATCCATTTTCATTAATATTATCATCAATTATAATTTTCATTAATATTATTTTTTATTGATATAACGTTGTCCTAATATTGTGTCACTTAAATATTAATTACCGTTATCATTCGTCGGACGCAGCACATGCGCCACTTGGTGCGATAAAGCCATTTCGATCACTCTCCTGCTGATATCCAAGGCTTTCCTAATATCCCCAGAAATCGCAGCTACCTTACTCGCGAGAAATTGTATCGCAGGCGGAGTAAAAACGTTGATCGCGTTCGCCTCATTCAATCTCGTGGATATTATGTCAAATATCTGTTGCTTGGAGTATGGGGCAAAATGCATCAACATCGGCTTCAATTCACATCTGGCCTGCAGTCTGGGTAATATTCTGTCAGTCAGATCCAGAGAGTTGGCAATCCCGATGAGAATCAGCTTGGAATTTGGTTTGGAAGGCCACTCGAATATAGAATACAGCACAGACTGTTTTTTGCTCTCCAACTGATCTATCTCGTCCAGCACCAAGAGCAGCGTCTTGTGTTTAGACACTAAATATTTTTCTATAATAGCTTTGCTATTCTTTCCCGACTTTGTCATGTCGGATATGAACAGTTCCTGAATTATCTTAGCATAAATGGCAGTCGCGGACTTCATGCTGGTACAATTGATGTAGACCATCTTGAATTTCGATTTTACATCCGACTGTTGCATGATTTTGAACAGACACGCGGTTTTACCAGTGCCCGGAGGGCCAGAAATATAGAGAGAGCCCGAAGTTTTTTGATCCAAATGTTCAAGAAGATATTTCTGCAACTTAGTTAATTCCTCTTCTCTACCGGGTAAATTATCCGTTATGGAACCGTGCAATGATTTACGCGCGTTCTGATATTTGTTGAATCCTATTGGCTTAGAAATTAATTCGTCCTCTTCTTCGGAGAGACAAGAGTCAAATAATTGCTTGGGAGCTAATCTGCCTTCTTTCTTAGGGGACAGAATTAATCTATTGAGAAGAGTGGATGGCGTCAAGGAAGATTCTAATTTCTCCTTTCTCTGCTTTGGTGGACTAGGAGTGTGTTGTTCTGAAATAAAACATAATTCATAATTTGACAACAAATTTATGCAAAATACAAATGTCCACAATATAATTACTGTGTAAAGCGAAATTATATTGCATAATTATCATAAGTCGCGAAAAAGGCACAATTGTGAAACAATCTGCCTACAAAATAATTTTATTATTATTACTTTTAATCCAGAGCTGATGTGAACATATTAAACCTATTTTGCAATTATTACTTCGATAACAAAGAATCTTATGAGTGAAAACAATTCAAACGTCATTTTTACACAATTCTGTAAGCAACATTATTATTAATCAACATATATTAAATGGATCTCACAAACCCAGTGTTCTTTATGTTTGCAATATGGAAAAAAAAGAAGAAAGATGACTCAAAAAGTTAAACAGAACAATCTTAGTAAGTATATTACAGACTTTAACTTTCCTTTTAGAAGACACACAACAACACAAGTATCATTCTGTCTTTATTATTTTTTAAATGTCAAGAAGATGGAATGACATTTGTGTCTCTTAAAAAGAAAACAGCCTTTGGCGTCAGCTTTAGAAGGTTAAATAAAATAAGAAATAATGTCTCCTGTATAAATTTACCATTCAAGTCATCACACTTTCGTCGCCTTGGCGTATGACCTGTATTCTCGATCCTTCTTTCCCTCGTTATCTTGTGCTTCTTCTTTGTATTTTCAATATCAGAATCAGACTCAGACTCGCTGCTGGTCAAAGTGACAATCTTCTTAATGGTTGGGACATACCTTGACGGCGTGTCCTTTGCCGTCGCATTCGTGAAATCTTCCTTGACTTCTTCCTTGCGACCATAAAAATTAAATTTCTTCCGTATGGGAAAAGAAATGATAGTCTGCTTGCCCGACATTGTTTTCACCAATAATTTTTTAATGAAAACTGTCACCAAATACAGAAAAGGATGCAATGCAAGGTCGATAAACCCTTTTTTTTTTGTGATGAATGTTTCCGACTCTAAAAAGATTTACAGTACAATTACATGTGGACTTTGTTGTAGATGTATACAATAATTTTTGTAATAAAGTTAAATATTGTTTTCATTATTTTTTGAATTGAATTTTTAGTCAACTCCACAGACAATCTGTAAACGGTATAGATCGGAGATTTAATGAGATTTAATACGCACCCTCTTGAGATTTTCTGCTTTCCGTGATGACGTCCTCGTGAATCTCGAGAGCAATGATTTCGACTTGGTCGCGTGAGTCACTGCTACTTGAAGTTATCGAAAGTTTCCGAAATATTCGTTAATGAATCGTTGGAGGATTTGCCGACGTCAGCGATTAACACGTTAACGAGCGATTGTCCGCCAAATTCACGACGAAACACGTCATTTACCGAGGGACGAACACATCCCGCGCACCTCAGCTGTGATTGCAGTTTTGGCGGGATGGGCTTTAAACGGGCGGGAAAACAGGTGCGGAATGCGGAACACGAAACACGCCGCCTGTGGCTCGGCTCGGAACTACTCGAAACGATCGTTCCGAACGGCGGAACATGAAAGTGGGGAGCACAAGAGAAAATATAAAATAAAACGACAATTTCATTACGATACTCTCTCCTTCGATTTTCCTTTTGTAAATTTGTGTATTTTTATATGCAAAATTTATTCTGAGGAAAATAGTCACTCAAGTTCCGTTCATTTTAATTTAAAAATTTTTTGATGTCGATAATTTATTATAATCCACATAAAAAAAAATTTAAAAAGTATGAATTTTGAATCACAAAACATTCTTTGTATAATTTAAGTTATATGGGAAAATAATTTGTGTTTCTAATTAATTAAAGCAAAAGATATGAATAACAATCACAAATTATCATTAAATTATCATTTTCTAACTTACCGATTTTCATCAAGCTTTTTTCTTGTTTCTATTCATAGAGCCAATCATGTTTTTTGACATTTTTCTGCTCCATATTTTACACCGCACACATATAAAGTACATTCTAGAATTTGACGAATATAACTTGAAGTGATGTCCAGAAGAAGTGTAAATAAATTATATTAACAGTAAAAATACACGAAAATGCAAATAATAAAACTTATTCTACATTGTGTAGATCCTCGGTGCAAAACATCAATTCAAATGCTTTAGAATGATTTAAATGATTTAAATATCATTTTGAATGATTTAAATGCTATAGTTCGTTACGCGAATATTTTGCACGACCAATGAGAGAGGCTCTTTTCTTAGAGACTTGAGCGCCAGACCTGAGAGAAGTCCCTATAAAGCGCGTTGTCCTTATTTGCTTCCGGACACGAGCGCGTCAAATGACGTATCGCCGTCATGCGCATGCGCATGCGCATTCGCTTTTCATCCTCCGTCTCTCCGTGCCTCAATGTTCAATGTTCTGCGTCGTTCATTTTACCTCGAGAGACTTTTGGATCTGGTTGACCCGAAATCCGAAGTAATCCAGCTATTCCGATCTCATCTAGAGTCGTATAAAGGAGGAGATGAGAGCTAAGGTAAGCTGTTATCGATTCTCGTTGATAATTATCGCCTCTCTTTGAGCATATGCAATTATTTCACCGCACAAAATTCACGAGACATCGCCTCCTTTGCTTGGGCATATCGATTAATTTTGTTGATATGATGCCAACGCTGCGAATGTTTTCGTATCGTAATGACAATTTTGATAATTAACTCAAGTTCGTAATTTTTAGCATTTTGTGTTTTTTTACGTCCTTGACTTGTTTTATTGTACATAACCTCAACTTCCATTTCCTAAAAAATCGACGCGATGCGACGTTTCGATTCATAAGTCGGTTTTTCATCTAAAATTCTTACATTGTTCATTCTTCCGTTCATTCTCATTAAAGAAAAAAGAAGAAAAAAATTAACAATTAGCAGGAAATTGAAAACATAAACCAAATGTCTCAGAATTTCTAACATTTGCTACACTACTGCAATATTGTTGAAATATACTATATGTGAATTGCAGACACTGTAAACTTAAGAAAAAGATAACAATGTGTTAATGTATTTATTTTACAGTGGCGTAAGAAGAGGATGCGGAGGCTAAAGCGTAAGAGGAGGAAGATGCGTGCGAGGTCTAAATAAACAGTTCCTTTCCATAGTCTCTGTAGGTGTACATTTTACATATTTGATGAATTGTAGTCGTGCTATTTTACCATTTTTCTACCACTTCTTATTTGCTATGTAATATTTCAGCTGTGGAGGAGAACAGACCTGCGACGTTTCACCATTCGACATACGCTCCTAATTGATTAAAAATCCCTGGGAGACGAATCTTCAATGGACACGTTTTTCGCATTGAGAGAATTTTGTACTTGTAAATCTTGTCTGGTTAAATACATCAACTACTCAAGACAAAATTTAGTTGAAGGTTTCTGTTTCATTCCAATACATTTCCGTTTCTCCTTTATAAGTAATCTTAGTTCTATTTTTGTTCTTTTTACATTAAGAGAAAAAAAAACAACTATGCAAAAAGTTAAGCTAAAAACCAAACTTCTTGGAACAAATGACCTGCTCATGCGAGTTTGTAAAATTCTTGATACAAAATTGACTATTTTATACTTGTATTTCATCTGTCTGCAGATTACTCTTGCTCGCATAAATTGTTAAAAAATATTGAAAAAATTGTCTATAAACATATACAATACAAAATCTATCTCTTTATCTTGATAAAATATGAACTCGATAAGATATATATATATGTATATATATATATATAAGCTACAAATATTTTTCCAAAAACTTAATAATAGGACATGTTATCTATTGTAATTATTTGTAATTATTACACAACTAACAAGGAATAAAGACCTTTAACGATCAAGCTAGATCTTAATTAATTATTGCATTAAATATAAATTATAATTTTGGGACGATAATCATAAATTATAAAATTATCTAATATCCTCAGTAATATAACTATCTCGGCTGTCGACGATGCCGCGACTTAACCCTAACTTAAGTTTTCGAAATCGACATGCGTTCGTGCATCCTGAGGAATCTCTTAAGTGTACGACAATTGTTCCGTGAAGCTCCTGGAAGTCATACATCACGATCGTTAACGTATTCATGGTTAAAACTGACGAGGAGGTTCTCGAATGACATGGGAAACGACGACTACGAGGACAAAAAAGATGACACGAGCAAGAACACCGGTTATAACCTTACTGGTGCTATGAATATAAAATACAAAGTATTTCACGATAAAGACGCTGACATTATTCTTGATGTGAGCGAGGAGCAGCAAAAGATCCTCCTCGAGGACTTGAACAAGCAGGAGGAGAAAGTTCATGATCCTTACGCCGATATAAATCTGGAGCGTGAGTAGAAATGGCGTACTAACTAGAGAGGCTGTATATACAATAACAATAAAATGTAAATATAATAGATGAGATAAGATGTAAATATAATAACAATGATAAATGGAACATAATTTAATATGATTATATTTAAAATATTTTTAAGAAAGATATATATATA